GAGTAAGTGAGGTGGTCAATCAGCCAGTCAGTCAATGAGAGAGTGAGTTAGCAAGTCAGTCAGTTAGTCCATCAATCAGTCAGTCAGTAAATCAGTTAGTCAGTGAAGGGGTCAGTCATTAAGTCTGTCTGTGAGTACGTGAGCTTGTCAATCAGTCGGTGAGTCAATGAAAGAGTGAGTCAGCGAGTCAGTCAGTTAGTAATAGTTAGTCAGTCGGTCATTCAGTCAGTCAATCAGGTAGTTAGTCAGTCGGTCATTCAGTCATTTAGTCAATCAGTCAGTTGTCCAGTCAGTAATTCAGACAGACACTCATTCTTCACTCGACTATTTAGTCTTGGTCTGTCAATGAGACAGTGAGTCAGCAAGTCAGCCAGTCAGTCAGTTAGTCAGTCAATCAAATAGTTACTCATTCAGTGCATGTGTCAGTTATTAAGTAAGTCAGCAAATCAGTCAGTCAGTTGGTCAGACGTCTAGACTGTCATTCAATTGGTCAGTTACTCAGTTGGTCAATCAGTTAATTGAATTCAAAGGACCACTCCAGAAACTGTCAATCAGTCAATAAATCAATCCACTTAATTGGTATCATGTAGATTGCCGAACTATACTTAGGAATCAAAGCAGAACTAAGAATTTGGCGCAGCTTGTTCAAGGCAGATTGTGTCTGCTACTCCAGTAAAAATCTCTATATTTATCAGAAAAACGTCATTTCTTAAAGAGATTTGATTTTCACTGCATATAATTATTTAAACCTAAAAATGTAGCTAGTTGAAATAAAACAACTTGTAAACACAATGAACTTAATGCCATCAACCAATTCATACAAAATTGATGTTCCACTCAGAATTTGAATTTTATCCTTTTTTGTTTTGTTTTTTTTTTATGATCTCAATAATTATTTCGATGCCATGAAATTTCATGAAACCTAAAATTTTTTTAAAAAAATTGTCCAAGCCACTTGCAGCATGTGTAATAAAATTGTCTGCTATGAGGATTAGATGCTCACTATAAATAAATGAGTTATAGACAATTTTTTAAGTTCCTCGGAATTACACATGCACTACATGTACTTGTTGGAAAGTAATGTACACTTTGTCCTCAAACTGCTCCAGAGATTCTAGCTGTCTTGCATGAAAAGACGAAAACAAACATTCCTTTGATTTCCATTTGAAATACATTTAAAAATACAAACAATTTTTATTTATAAAAAATATAATTATTTACTATTTTGTTAATAAAAACTGTTCACATTTTTAAAATTTTATTCTTCCTTTGAGTCCAAAAATGGCTTTGAATCTCTGGCTTTTCAACAGTAAACAAGTAAAAAAGAAACAGCTTGACTAATATTGAAATCATTAGATCATTTCATTGAGTCACTATTTTTTTCCTCCTTCTCCTGTGAATCTGATTTAACAGTCACATTTATTTGAAAACAGTTGTGAATTTTGCATTTAATAAGGGCAGGTATGGCCACTAAAAAGCCGATGAAGCTGCAGCTCAATCTTATTTTAAACAAGCTTAGCACCTTTGTTAAATTGTCTACATAATTCACTCAAGAGCTGGATTACAAAGCAAAATTTACAACACTTACAGTACTGAAGATAAGCTCTAACTCCTGGCTGTTGAAGTCTTGACACATCAGCTGGACCCATCTGATCTGAAATGAAAAATCAATCACCTTCATAAGCAGTCATAGTAACCTTGCTTCATATCATGGAAGGCATTATATTAATTTCTTTAATTTCTTACATTGATATGATGCTTATGATTGTCTACATGTATAAGGGCCCTGAGCACTGAAAACTCTTATGGCAAGTTTGGCTCCCTCATCAAATATTACTATTATTATGATAAACATTATTATTATGATTATATTATGATTATATTTTATTATTTTTATCATTGAAGTTGAACCAGTTTTGTAAGACATCACAGGAGAAGAGTTGAATAGAGGAGCCAACACCACCTTGGATGCCTGGCTGGATATAGTTGCTTGGGGATTTTGGGAGAGGCAGAGGTCAGCTTTCTTTGATGCGAGGGTTTGCCTCCTGAATGCAGATTCCTATAGAGATTTGGATTCAGACCAGATATTCAGGCAACACAAAACAGAGAAGAAGAGCCAAAGTATGCCAGTGGAGTGTACTGTAGAGCAAGCTTAATTCACGCCATTAGTTTTAAAAACAACACGTGGTATGGTGGTGGAATGTTAACAACACCATAGTAGGCCTGACGAGCTATTTGCTACAAAGAAGGACAAAAGCTATGTAACTACCATAACGTTTCCTAACAGCACCAATTATGACTGGCACCACACAGTTACACAGGTACTCTGCCCAATTTCCAGAGCCTTTTCAACTCCTGCTTCAGGTCTTGGTAGTTCTCAACTTTCTCTTTGTCTTTCATTCAGGTGTCAAATGGACAAGCAACATCAATAATCAGGCACTTCTGTTCTATTCCAATACAGGCTTGTTGTGTTCAATCTTGTCGTCAATTTGTATTTTGAAGTCCCACGGCAGCTTGTTGTTAGAGGATTCATACACTGGTTGTGGATCATGGCTGTTGTTAGTGGATTCATACACTGGTTGTGGATCATGGTTGTTGATAGTGGATTCATACACTGGTTGTGGATCATGGTTGTTGATAGTGGATTCATACACTGGTTGTGGATCATGGTTGTTGTTAGTGGATTCGTACTCTGGTTGTGGCTCATGGTTGTTGTTACTGGATTCATACACATACACTGGTTGTAGCTCATGTAATACATGTATTTGTCATCCCTGTCATAACCCAGCATTCCGCATTCAAGATAAGTCCCAGTGAATTGTCTGCACGGTTGTCTTCCCTACAACATTGACATTGCTTTTGAGCAAGTTTCTTGCATCCCAATACAATAATTATGGCTAATTGCCTCATCACTTTCTCTGCCATTCTACACTCTGCCGGCACATTTTGCTTGTCAGTGGTCTTTATGCTATTAGTTCTTAAAGCTTGTTCTTGTGCTGCCATAATCATATCCTCCATCTCCATTTTTATCCAGTTCAGGGCTGTGCTCTAGCAGAGCCCAGTGGCCCTTGGTGCCTAACTTTTACCCTCGGGCGACTAGAAAATCTCAGATTTTTCATACAAAACATATGCTGGGCACCCTAGATTTTACTGGTTCAGAGCACTGGGCTCCCTTCAATTTTCCTTAGAGCACAGCCTTGCAGTTGCCCTTTTTTTCAGCGAATCCAAGTTTTTATATCTCTTACTTCTGTTATGTTCCTCCAAAACTGCCCATGAGTTGTTTCTTCTGAAAGTGCTCTTTTCTTTCTTGCTGTAATGATGCGGCTTCACAACTTTTAGCATAACATCTCAGAACTGCTTACTTGTACAACACCTTTTTTTAAATTAAATCTTATTTAAGCTTAAGTACAATGCAATATACAATATTAACCGGGAGAGACACTAAAAAGCTAAAATAAATGGTACAGGAAAAGATACAATTCATACACAGGATATTACAATACTAAATAAAAAAACACTAATAAAAACAAATGAACATGCCAAACATGCGTGCAGCTAAAGGCTCAAGGATTCTCAAAAGCTTGAAGGCTCTACAGGTAATAATATTTCAGAAAAGCTTTAAAAGCGAAGAAACTATATGGTTCGCTTTCTTTGACTTTGGCTCCAGTATTAAAGCGAGCAATTATCAGGCAAAGTTTAAACATGTGGCAGGAACATTTCTAAGGGAGATATCCATCAATTTTATCGTTAATGGTCAAAGACATTAAGGGAGAGTTATTGGCATTCCACCAAGAGGTACAAAAGGTTCCAGAAGGAGAGGATATGCTGGCATTCTACAAACCAATGCTATAGGGTCTACTTTGATTCACACACATGACAAGAGTCACTGTCATTAATCTTGGCCTTGAAAAGATTTTTGCAAGTGTACAGGTTGCAATGGTTTAATTATTTCAAATTGAAACAAAGTAAGCTTTAAATTTTTTCTGACTTTGAATGGAAGGATGTATAATGCCGCAATTGTCTCATCTGTGAATCCAGCCTCAATCCTTCAGATGAACTTCTGATATACACTTACTTGTACTTTGCCTCCAAAACCAATAGGGGGCTATTACAACTCGCAACAAACCAGCTACAGCTGCATTAAAAACTATTGATCTCACTCTACAGAGTCCTCAACATTCATAAATCCTCTACCACCCACTGATCTTTTAAAGTAAAGCCTGTTGATATCAGCCTGCAGATGCAAGAATGACGTAGAGTCATCAATTTGCGCATTCTCCTATCCACAATCTGTAGCTCTAATATTTTTGTCCTCTCCACCATTCCTGCCGCATATCACACTACTGCCACTACTCTACAATTGATTTCTAGGACCATATTCCCACCATTCATTTTAGACTTAAATATTCTCTGTACTTGACAAAAGTAATCCTTCTCAATTCTTCTTTTCATCTGGTGTGCTTGATTTCATCTCCCTCAAGCACCCCCAGGTACTTATAAGCATCCATATCACCATCATTCACTGCTCAAATCATGCAGTTTTTCACCCAGGATGACAATACCTTCTGACTTGACAAGTTTCTTCCTCTTCATGACCAGGACTGCACATTTTTTTATTCCAAGTTCCATTCTAATGTCTTCACTGACTACTCGGACAGACTGTACCAACATATCAACCTTGTTTTTGTTTTTTCCATAGAGCTTTAGGTCATCCATGAACAGAAGATGATTCATTGTAGGTAGTCAGATTATCTTTCCTCAACACCAGTGTTAGTAGGATCATGTAGTGCCAATACAATCAGTAATGGAGAAAGGCTATCCCCATGAAAGATTCCTCTCTTTATACACATTTCACCCTGCAACACTTGGTTACCAGCCATCAATTCCATTTTCTATTGTTTCAGACTTTCTTGGATTACCCCCGTCAGGTTTTCTGCAAAACCAAACATGTTCCTGTGACATTCAATAATCCACAAGTGAGGTACCATTATCATGCCTAATTATAGTCCACCCATACCATTCCAAGGCCTTTTTTGCACCTTCTGCAATAAGCAGCTGATCTTTGTGCCTCGTGAGTTTCTTCTACATCCTTTCTGTTCCTCTGGTAATAAACTCTTTCTGTGAAGATTACATGTAATTTTCATAATATTGTGTCCACCAACATCCCTGCTGTAAATAACTTCCTCATCAGTGGTACACGTAGGCATGCAATTGGTCTGAAGTGTGACAATTCACCTTCCTTTCCTTTGTGCTTTACTACCAACACAGTTCGTCTCCTTGGTTAACCATTCTAGTACTGATCTCAAACATGTAACACAGTAAACTTTTTCAGCCAGTAGCCATGCATACCATCTGGACCCGCATATTTCCAACTGGGCACTATTTTTTTTTCCCTTAGTTGTTTTTTGATCATCGGTGCAGAAACCTTCACCTCACCTTGCCTTCCCAGGGCATCTAGCTCATTTTTAAGATCTTGCAAGCATTCAGCCTCTGCATTGTGCTTTTTCTTCCCAAATTCCACCCCAGATATTTTGGCACTTTTCTTCAACTGGCATATCACATCACTATACTTTTCGTTTCCTTCCAGCTCCTCAAACAGTCTTTTTTGATTGCATTCAAACAATCCATTTTGTCTCAGTACCGTGTAGTTCTCCCCACAACACCTCAATTTTGCTGCCTGGATAGACACCCTTGCTCAAGTTCTTCTACTAAAATAATTATTTCGGCGACCCTTCAGACAGATACAGTGGAACCTCGATATAACGAAAAGCCAAGGGACTGGCAAAATTTGTTCAAATAACGAGGTTTTGTTATACAGTGGAACCTCGATATAAAGAACCTATATAAAATGAAGTCCTTAGTATAACAAACTTTTCTGATTACCCCAGTAATAACAATATGTATATGAAAAAGAACCTCAATATAACAAAACCTCGTTATTGCAAACAAATTTTGCCAGTCCCTTGGCTCTCGTTACATGGAGGTTCTTTTTCAAATGTATTACTATTACTGGGGTAATCAAAATAGTTCAATATACCGAGGACTTTGTTATAGAGGTAAAGTTATATGGAGGTTCCACTGTACTACATTTTCTTTCCAACTGCTCACTGATCTTAACTCTTCTCAATTGACCAGTTACTCACCTCTTCTAATCTACTAATATCTTTCCTCAGCTATATTATCTTTTGTTTGATCCTCCTCTTCCAACATCGCTCATCACTTCTTTTTGCAGTAGGTTTTCTAACACCTTCATGTAGCCTTTTTGCTACCATGATATTAGCTGCTGCTACCACCAACAGCCTATTTGTTTCACCAGAAGCATATCACCCTGAAGCATCTAAATTCCTCTTATTCATTAATTTGTTTGGAACCATGCTGGGGTTTTTTAGCTGTCCAATCAGAAGCAAGGAAATTATTTTGCCCAAATATGGACTCAGAGAATTAGAGGCATCATCTCTAAAACAAGTAGCTAATAATGAATTCTTCAAGTCCTTAACAGTTGTCCAAGTACATCCACAACACCACAGTGTATGTTGAGCCATTTAAATTTGTTAGAACATAATAAACAGGCAAAAACATTTACATTTACAGGTGGTGGAGCCGACAAGTGTGTTGTAATTTGTGCAAACTAAGCTGCCCCATGGAGTGTACGAATAATTTCCCCTGCGAATACTTTCCAAAAAAAACTCTGTGCTCGCTACAAAGTAGTTTTCCGTCTCAGTGTTCATTGAAAAACCTGCCATATGTTCTTCTGATTGGAGTTTGTGCATAACTTCTTTTAATATTAAGATAGCAACCTTTTAAAACTATCAGGTAGAAAAAAAGGTCGCATAATGAGGATGCATACTCTTTTGAGAACACACAAGCTTTCATTTTGGCATTCAATTTTGGTCAAATTTTACTCCACCAAACCGTTATTAGTTTTATCTTTGCAGCACATCATTGACAGTGTATATTGCGATACAAAATTTTCATAACACTAGCGCAACAAACTCACCTGTCAGTGATACTATATAAGGATGTAAATTTTGATTGGTTCTCAATATTGGAACAGAGTTATAATTATATGCTTCAGGGTTAACGGGTATATGCTTCTGATTTCACTGATATTTTGGGTGTCAAAAATACCAATAACCTCATTTACATCATCCACAACTCTCTCTAAAAGAGATCCTTCTACATTCCTCACGTTCACATGCTTTTCCATTTCTTTCTTTGCCAGTTCATCCTGAATCATTTGCAATAAATTATATAAAATTTAACTTCTCCTTCCCCCCCCCCCCCAACCCCCTCTCTTTTTTTTTTTTTTACCTTTACATCATCCCCACCCCTTTCTAAAAGATATCCTTTTCCATTCCCCACGTTCCCATGCTTTTCCATTTTTTTCTTTTCCAGTTTTTCCTTAAACATTTTCAATAAATTATATAAAATTTAACTTCTCCCCCCCCCCCCCCCAAACCCTCATTTCTCTTTTTTCTTTTTCCACCAAGATTTCAGACTGGCCACCACAAATCTGTTCTTCCACTTGCTCTGTCCTCTCATTTTCACAGGTTTCCTCATTACTCTTAGTGTTGGTTGATCTGGTCCAATGTCAACACTGTTCATCATCATCATGTCTCATTGCCCCAGTAGGCACATAAGGCCTTCATGCTGTCTGGCCAATAATAACATTTCTTTCTTGTGCAACCGCTTTGGCTACTTCCCAGCTTTTCCACCCTGCTTTGTTTCGCTCTTTCTCAACTGTCCTTCTCCAAGTAGTTTTTGGTCTTCCTCTCACCCTTCAACCTTCAGGAGTCATTTGGTATACAACATGTACTCTTTTCTGTGAGGACTCCCTTTATTAATCTTCTATCTCTACATCAAATAACCACACATGAACCTTTACTTCCCTTGCTTGATTCACTAATTGCTGAACTTTAGTACACACAACATGTAATTTGTTTCGAAAACACCTTTTTCAGCCCAAATAGTCACCATTCTTTTTAGATACCCTCTTTGCTGGGATCACTTTGGTGCAACACTTCACCACAAGTTTGTTTACTTCCTTTGACCACCTTAATATAACAGAATAAGGATTACGACCAGGTATTTGCTTCTGCTTCCAAGGCACCCTGTTAGACACGGCACCCACTATATCTGCTTGGGTCCCATTTATGCCGTTATTCTGGCTTCATGTGTCATCCCATTCAGTGAGAAGTTGGTTTGTTATCAGAGTGGCTTTCTCCTACAGTGTAGGTGAGATGCCGTCCACAGCTAACAAGCCTCACCTATTCTTGGTTAGTAGCCAGCCCATCTGGTATTGTGCCCTTATTTGCCTTTGCAGCCATTAGGAAGCTAAAGCTATTTGATGGTAACTTCCTCCTCCGTTTCAGTTGCCATTGGGACTCCGCTGTAACCCTGACTGGAATGTCAAAAGGATTGCTGGCACTTGCCAAAGGTGCTACCCCAGACTCAGGTGGGCAGGGCTCCCTGTGGTAGGCTGAGGATTCAACCTTTCCTACCCCAGTGCCATAATTATTATTATTATTATCATTATCACTATTATTATTATTATTATTATTATTATTATTATTATTATTATTATTATTAAATATTATCATTGTTATTATTACTATTATTATTATTACTATAATTATTACTGTGGATATAACCTTTTATCAGGACAACTTGATTTAAATTTTCAGTTTGTTTAACCAATGTCATGCCAATAAATTTTGACTACTAGTCTGCTGGCACCCTACATGTAGAAAAAAGGCTTATCCTATTAGACTGAAAACTGGTTTAACATGAGAACACATTCTACTGTCAGTGCCTATACAACAGGTAGACAAAAGGTAATTAAGACCTTGAGCATCCAAATTTTGAGGTTTTTGTGATGCAGAGGTGGGTTAGGATTACTTTATGACATAAGCACCTTTGGCACAATCTCTAATCTCAAGACCATCTTAAGCAAAATTTTTTAGATTTGAAATATAATGTAGTCACAACAGGCCTAAGCTAACTAGTGGTTATTTGCCCTACTTATAATAGATAACTTTCATATTTAAGCAACCAGTACTATATTCAATTCCAGTTGCACCTAACAACCCTGTGAGCATATGCCTCCTTTTGCCTTCTTGAGTGATGGGAAGAAAAAGAGGCTCTGCCTGAATTGCTTCATGCCTTGGAAGCTGCCGCAGCCCAAACTTCCGGACTAATCAATTTTGTTCTCTCTTGTCAACTGTCTTTTTCGAGTGTGAGCATCCATTTATTGATAAACCGATGGTAATAACTGAGCCCATTAAACCAAGTGCAAGGCGATTACGCCTGTATTCAAAACTACATGTATATACACCTATTTCAATTAAGGTTGCTTCAGAGAAGAATGATGCATGATCCAGGTTTCATAGCCCGCGATGCATTACTGTAGCAAGTCTAGTAAGTTTTGCACCCGCAACGAGCAGCAAACGCTGCTGACGCTATGCTATGTCAGCAGAACGTTAAGACGATGTATTTCAAAATACTGAATCCTAGGCTTTTTAATTTAGACAGTGATTTGAGGTTACGTTTTTCTCTGTGGTAATATGCATGCAAATGCTGCAAATTTTCAACGAGTTTGCTTGGCTCATGCACGTGGGAATTTTGGATGGAGTTAAAACATGCAATTCAAATTCAAGGAATTTGTTCATGAACTACAATAAATAAAAAGGAAATTCTTCAGCTCGCTCACGCTTAAAAATATTAGCAGCCATTTGACTTGAAAGCTCTCTTGAACGCCTTTTCAAAAATGGTCTCCATTAATTCAATGAACTTAACTTCCCGCTACAAAAGGGTTTACCACAGTGCACTGCAGGCTATGAAACATGGTTCGCGGGAGCAACCTTAATTGAAATAGGTGTATAT